ATGTCAAGTGCGAGTCTCCTTCAGGGGCAAGCAGCATGGCAGCGAGATGAGGAACAACATCCGCGAGGTACTCCAGCTCGAACTGCCTCTCCTCAAGGACGTCACAGCCAAGGGCAAGCTCACCCACGACGGACGCAGGACAGGTAGTGTCAGAAACCAGGCTCGCAAGGTAGTCAAGGTGGCACGTAGCAGCAAAGTCAATGAGCTTGGCAACCAAGGCAGAAGCAGCAGCAGTAAAAAAAGTAGGGTCAGACACAAGCGTGGCAAGACACCAAGTCACAGTCGGACTAGCAGCACGAGCAAGGTCAGACACAGGGTCAGGAACGTCAGGAAGAGAAGACGGGGGAGGCAGTGGCATGGCATTAGGCTACAAAACAGAGGAAGGATGAAGTGCCATAGTGTGAACTGGAGGAGGGCGATCACGGCGAGCACGACGAACACGAGCAACAGGGGAGGAAGGACGAGACGCAGGCTCTCGACACTCGGTCGGGGAGTTGGTCTGTGGGGAGTAACGAGGAGGAGCAGGCAGAGAGGAGTCAGGCAGCAACAGTGCCGGAGACAGGTCAGGCGGCGGAAACAAAAGAGGAGGAGCAGTGCCAGTGGCTGTAGGCTCAGTAGAAGCAGGCGGGAGTCTGAGAAGGTAGCGAAGCGCCGACTCAGGTAGCGACGACTGCTGTTGCTCCCAAAACAACGGCCGCTGGTGCAGCAACTACAACGCACCCCCAGACCCAGCGCCTCCATGACGAACACCATTCTCAGGAGCACCTCCAGCGCCAGCACGACCAACACCCTCAGAGTCAGCACCTCCGGCTCCAGTGGCAGTACCTCTAGCTCCAGCTCCAGCACCCCCACCTCAAGCACCAGTACCGCCAGCACCCCCAGCAGCAGGACTTCCAAAGTCAGCACCCCCAGAACCTCTAGCAGAAGTACTAGGAAGCAGCGGCGATGACGGCTGTTGCTTCCAGAACAGCGGCCACCGCGCCAGTGGCTGCAACTCAACCCTAGGAACTCCAGCAGCAGTACCCTCGACTCCACCAACAAGAGGAGCCCCAACACCCCAAGAGTCAGCACCCCCAGAACCAGCACCCTCAGACTCAGCACCCCCAGAACCAGCACCCCCAGCGTCACCACCGCCAACAGCACCAGGTCCCCCAGAGTCCACAGTTGTAGGCTGCAGAGGAGGCGAAGACGTCCGAGGCGGGAAAACCAGGAGGTGTCTCCAAGCGGGGCGGGGGGCGAGAGGTCGCGGTGTCATCAGCAGCAGGATCACCCCCCTCAGCCGGGCCAAAGGAGTCTGAGGAGAGCTCCGAAGGCACAACCGAGGGGATTGGGGTGAGGTGCGACACACCTTAGGGGGCAAGACGGGGGTGGGGAGGGGGTCTACCTAGGGGAGACTAGGTACCAAGAAGAGAGGCGGGGGGGGAGCACGGGGCAACTGAGGTGGGGGTAGAGACGGTAGTAGCACACCAACTCGTCAAAGGTGACGTCTTGGGAGGACGACGCGACGGGTGGATGGGTGGTAAAACTGCGAGTCAGAGGCGTCGGTGGGAAAGCCAAGGAAGATGCAGCGAAAAGTGCAGGGAGAGAGCTTGTCCCCGATGGGATCGCGGACAAGGGCAAGCGAGCCCCAGACCCAAAACGGCGACGCATCGCCCACCTCCCCCGTCCAAAGGAGGGTAGGCGAGACCTCTGGCTGTGAAACACGCGGCCAGAGGTTGAGCTGATGCGCGGCGTATCGAACCGCAAATGGCCACTGGAAATGGGGAGCAACCACATGGATCATGGAGGTGAGAGCAACCTCCATGAGTAGTCCATTGCAGCGCTCAGCGATGCCATTCTGCTGTGGAGAGGCCGGAAGCGTGAACAACTGGGTGATGCCCTTCTCACGACCAAAGTTCTCAAGGAGACCGGAGAAAAACTCACCTCCACCGTCAGAGTGCAGACGAAGCACCGGGAGGTCGTGCTGGAAACGAGCTCTTTGCTGGAGACGAACAGCAAGGATCCAAGGGATCAAAACACCATGGATGTCGCCCTTGTGCTGCGAGGGAAACACCGTGGTGTAGCGCGTGAAGTCATCAACAACCAGCAGAAAGTAGCGCTCCCGGCACGGCCCATGGACAGAGGCAGGGCCCCACACGTCCATGTGCAGCGTTTGCAGAGGAGTAGTGGTCGGAGGAAACGAGGAGTGAGGAGTGGCGCGCTTCCGCCCCTCGAAGCAGGGAGTACACGGTGGCGCAAGCGACTACGGGAGCTGGGGCAGGGTCTGCGGGAGGCCAGAAACAAGGCGACGCGAGTGCATGCTGCGGAGGTGGGGAAGGTAGGGGTGACAAAGAAGGTGGTGCCAGAGGAGAGACTGGTGCGTGAGCAACCGACAAGAGCAAGACGCCGCTATCTGACCTGTCGCAGCCACCTGAGCGGACTCAGTGTACAGTGTGTACAGTCTAGACCCAAGCCTCCGTGTGAACGTGGCAAGGTGGTCTCCAGTCTCGATATCCGTAGAGATCGCCACGCGCTCGCCCCCATGAATTGTTAGTGGTGACCAACTAATCCTGGAGGTAACCGGTACTCACCAAGTTCGTAGCAAACGAGAGGAGGTGGAGACCTGTGAGGGAGCCAAAGGGGACTGCCGGACACGGGAGAACAGTGGAGCTACGCGCAACGACCGGTCCAGAGGTGGGTTTGGCCAGAGTGACAGGGACAGGTGCCGAGAGCGGTGTGACAGTGGTGCAGTCGCGGAACAAGCACCGAGACGCGACGGAGTCCAGCGTGAACGAGAGCAATGCCTCCGCAGGAACTGCACCTGTGCAAGCAGTCACAAGGACCTACACTAGCATCCTCTACACAGACTGACCTAGGCACACAAGAATAACAGTTAACCTGATCACTAGCACCGGCAGCATACATGGCATAGATGCCTACAGAAATCTTGTCCCAATCGAGCGAAAATATATTAACGCCCCTTCAGAGCAATCCTAACCAATCAGGGACCCTGGCCTGCTCACCGAACTCGCCATGGAAAGCGTCCTCGAAGCGGTAGAAACAACGAGCCTCACCGTGCCCCAGCTTGCCGCAGGCATCGCCGGCCCGAGGGCAAGTGCGACGCACGTACGTGCAAGGACCAGTGGCAGAGCGACCACCGCCAGTGGAGCCCCGCTGAGCGACCCACTCACGAAGATGTTGCAACGAGGGAGTGTCCAGTCGACGCGGCTGTTGCTGCTGCTGCTGCAGTCCACCCCCAGAAACTGCCATTTCCACCTGCTGCTCCACTAGATGCAACTCCACCGGACGATGCACCAGTGCCACCACCCCCGCCAGCTCCACCACAACCACCACCCCCACCTCCTCCGCCATCCCCACCACCCCCGCTTACCCCACCCCACCCCTTCCGCCGCCTCCGCCACCTCCCCCACCCCCTCCACCCCTAATCCCTTGACGCCCACCCTTGGTGTGCCTCCCGCTAGGAGCGGACGCCGCACCGACCTCCTCAGCACCGAGGAAGTCGACAGCAGCAGCAGAGGCAACAGAGGACGAGAGAAGGGAGGGAGCGCACCCCTCGAAAATAGAGGTGCTGGGGGTGCCACGAGAGGCAGCTACAGTGCGGGCACTGGTCTCGGCCTCAAGGAGACGAGTCTCAAACGAGTCAAGGGTCAGACTAGTGGGGTCTAGGGAGAGGAAGTGGTCTCGAACTGCACGAAGGGTGTCAGGAAGGCAAGTCACGAGGAAGTACAGAGTGAGGTACATGGGGGGCTAGTTCTGAGCTAAAACCTCTGGCAGGAGAGCAGCACGGTAGCGAGTGTCAAAGGAGCGTAGATGGGTCATGAGGCAGCTACGGTGATGAAGTCTAATAGCTCAGAGAAGAGAAACGGCAGTGCAAGGTGACCTAGGGTGGCAAAAGAAGGAGGGGGGGGGCGGGGGGGGGGGGGGGGGTAGCGCTTAACTATAGCGGCATAGAAGGCCTGAGCCGACTTCACCTTGCGAAAGTGGGCCCTCTGGTCGGGCGAGAGGTGAGCGCGGACTACAAGTGTAGTAGGCGCCGCGTGCCGCCCACTGCGTGCAGGCAAGGCGGTTGGCGCGGTACTTCTTCTGCACATCCTCTTCAGCGGTGGCGCAGGCTCTACTGGAGTCTTGGGGGCCTTGAGGGACCCCGACGTATGCTCAAACAGCGAGGCATCGTCCTTGGTAACACTCTGCAGATACAAGTGCAGGTCCTCTAGCTAGGACTCGAACTCTATAGGGCGCCCCTCTGCATCAAACGTTAGGACAGTGATAGTCGCCATGGCAGAGACTAAGTCAGGCAGCAGCACTAGGCACAAGCACGGCAGTAGGTGAGCGGCTCGGCAGCAGGCAGAGCGACAGCGTGGGGCAGTGCGGCAGTAGGTAGGGCGGCGCGGCGCGGCGGTAGGTAGGGCGGCGCGGCAGGGTGGTGCGGCAGCTGGCAGCGCGGCTGCATTGGCGCGGCAGTGGGCGGCCAGCGGGCTGCAGCGGGCCGGCAGCGAGCGGCAGCGCGGGATGGCGCACGGGGGGCAGGGGGCCAGCAGCAGGCAGCTGGCAGCAGGGGGCGGTGCGCAGGCTGCAGCACAGGCGGCGGCGCAGTAAGCGGTGTGGCAGTGGAGGCTGCAGCACGGGCGGCAGCGTGGCAGTGCAGACGGCAGCGCTGCAGCGTAGTGCAGGTGACAGGGCAGCGGGCCGCAGCGTGGTGGGGCAGCGCGGGCGGCGGGGCGGGCAGCAGCTCCCAGGGCAGTGCAGGGCAGTGCGCGCGAGGCAGCGCGCGAGGGGCAGCGCGATAGCGCAAGGCAACGCGGGGTAGTGCGACAGCGCGGGGCAGCACACAATAAGGGGCAGCGCGTCAACAGCGGCACAGCAGTGGCAGTAGCACAACAGTAGGGCATGCACGCGCAGAGGCAACAGCGCACCCGGAACGAACATACTCGGATAACATGTTGAGAAGTAAAACAGCGGAATTATGAAACTAGGCAGCATAGTTGATACAAGTATGAACCCTAAAAGGGTAGTACCCCTTACAGGGAAACGAGCCACAGAGCATCATGAAGAGCACGACACCAGCGCTCCACACGTCGCACTCAGCGCCGTACGACTCAGAAAAAACCTCCGGGGCCATGTAATTGGCTGTGCCCACCGCCCCCGATAGTGCAACACCCTGAGTGTGCCTAGCGGCCAAACCAAAATCAATCAGCTTGAATTCACAGCCATTTATATCAGCTCCTTCAATATCCTCGTTATTAGCATGTTGTGATAGAAGGATGTTCTCGGGTTTGACGTCACGGTGCACGATGCCGTGCGAGTGGCAGTGCTGCAAGGCCAGCATGAGCGACCGGAAGATGCGCGCTGCGGAAGGTTCTGAGAGCCTTCCGTGCGAGTCAATGCGGTCAAACAGGTCTCCCCCCTCACAGATCTCCATCACCACGTGCACGTGCTGCAAGGGAAGGAAGGGGGAAAGTGAAGAGGGGGGGGGCGGAGTTGGCACGGGGAAAGAGACGAGAGCAAGGGTGAGTGTGGCAGGACACAGTCAGCAATTTCTACAGGCAATATCATGACAATGGAAGGGCTTAGTATCAGAGACTCAAGTCCTAAGTATCTTGACGAGCACAATGGAGGATTCATGCATGCAACGATGCAGGCAATGCAGGCTCTGTTATTTAGCACAATAAGCAATTTCCCTTACTCTTTGAAAGGGGCAGAAGGTTATCGACTAGGGTAACTTACCCTATTCATCTCCAAGGCCTGCTTGATCCGAATGATGTTGGCATGGCCTTTGAGTTCCTCCATGAATGCCACCTCGTTCCGCACTGCCTCCACGTCAGCAGCACTCTGCACATGTGGGTAGGCAAGAGGTACCAGGTAGGTCGGAAAGGAAAGGAACTCAGAACAAGGCACAAGGCACAAGGCACAAGGCAGGTCGGAACTCAGAAGCTGAAGCCGAGGACAAGAGGCAACAAGGACCGGTGACGTGGAGAACAGGCAGGGAGAACACAAGCAAAGTGTTAATAATACAGAAAGGTATGGGGTTTAGAAGGAGGAACCCACCTGGAACGCGGATTTCCGGATGCTCTTGCAAGCAGCGTTTTCCCCGGTGCTGCGGTGCACGCATCTCCGTATCACACCGTACTGCCCCCTGCCGATCTCCCTCCTCAGCAAAAGCCACTGCCGCCGAATGTCCTCCACTGGCCGCCCCAACACCTCCCCCACTTGCACCTCCCCCACTTGCACCTCCCCCACTTCCACCTCCCTCTCTTCTGGTGCTGGGATTGTGTGTCCGCAGGCGTTTGCTTTCCGAGGTTCAACTGAGGCTGCAGGCTCGGAATCCAAATCCAGAGCTGACTCAGAGGCTCGGAGTCTGAGGTTGGCGTCAGCAGGTTCGGGTTCAGTGCAGGCACTGCCAGTTACCACACTGACTGCAGTTACTGTGTTGACCGTGTCAACTCTTCTCGATGCATTGAATCCGGCGTTGACTCGGTTGACTTGGCTGGTTCAGTTGAATTCAGGGAAGGCGGGCGGAAGGAGCCCATGAGGAGCATCGTGAAACCATTGCTGCAGCAGCGACTGCCGCTGCTTCCGCCCCACCACCTTTGGTGCCGTTTCAACCGCCGCTGACGCTGCTGCCTTGTTCGACCAATCCCCAAGCGCCACGTCGGCTGCCGCTCCCTCAGCGGAAGACCCGCACTGGAACGCGGGGATTGATTCTCCGCCGTTTGTGTTGAATCGCGCGACATCAGACGGCCATAGAATTGAGTCAACCGGCGGAGGAATCTGGAACACGTGCGGCCACACGGAGGAGGAAGGGGAGGCGGAAGGGAAAGCGGAAGGGGAAGCGGAAGGGAAGGCGGAAGGGGAGGCGGAAGGGAAGGCGGAAGGGGAGGCGGAAGGGAAGGCGGAAGGGGAGGTGGGGAAGTCGAGGGTGGTGGAGGGACTGAAGCTCATGATGACGTCATTCGTCGTGGCGCCATAAGCGCCGCCACTATCGCCGTTATTCCCGCCGTTGCGCTGACACTCGAAGGACCTTCTCGAATGCAATGACGCGCCGACGCAATGCGCATTCCCGCGGCGGCCGCCGGCGGGCGCGTTTGCGCCTCGAGCCCGCCGCGTCGCGCTAGGTGATGAAGTGCGATGCGTGCTCGCCATGAGTCAAATCAGACCGTTGTGTCCAAGTAGACGAGAGGTGCAAAAGAAGTAGTATGCTGCTAGTAGCAGCCACTAGTTGCGTCCTGCCGAAACGGGGCTGGTACTAGGAGGGCGGGTTCGTAAGAGAATTTGGTGCCGATATGGAATTTGCATTCCCTGCGAGCGTATTCATAGCAGAAGCTGATCAGAGGGGGTGAATTCGTATTCCCTGCCGCCATTGGGTCGATCGGAGGGGCGCGGCGAAGGCGGAAACGAATCACTCGCTAGTCGCGGCCTTTTCTCGCGGGGTGGTAAGCCACAATGTTCCCCCGATGTTCGCGCAACTGCGGCTACTGCGGAGCGGACTCGCAGCCATCATCGGCGGAACAGATAGCTGCGGTGGAGCAGCGATCATCGGCGAAGCACTGTGAGCTGCGGCGCGCGTCTCGTGATGGTCCGTGGGGCAACACCCACTCGTGTCGTGAGAGGAGACGACAAGACACGTCACGTGGGACTTGGATGACTCGGAGTCATCCGCCGCAACTCGCATCTCTTCTCATCAGCCTTCCACGAGTCCTCCGCTACTGTACACCTACTTTTCGAGAATTTTAAACCTAGTAATTTCACACAGCGCTTCGGTTTCTTCACCCCACCTCCTCCGGCTGCTGGGCTGGACAAGTGGCTGCACGCGGACACCGGCAATGACAAGTGTAGATCTTCCACGTTTCCAGTAATGTTGAGCTGCATCTACGCTCCTAGTCAGCAGCACCAATGACGAGCCGATGTGAAAGTCACGGGGCTTCTCCATACCCTCTCGGTCGGGCAAATCGTCACGCGCTTCGACTTTGTGGATGGTGAGCTTATCGAGAAATACGTGTACTGTATGAAGCGTGAGGGATGGGTAAGGGAAGCGTGGATGGGAATGGGTGGCACCTGAGGCCAGCGCGGCGAGGCAGCAAGCCGCCGCAAAGCTTCCTTCGCAAGGCACCAAGATGGTGCACTGCTACAGTGCTACGATCACGGCACTGTGCATGACTAAATGCTGACTACGCTTCGTCGATGCCGACGTGGATGAGGGGGATAAAAGGAGTAAAGCCGAGATTCTCCAATCCATGAGCTCGGATCGCTATCTCCCGAGAATGCCATAGGAAGAACGTATGGTGACGTGTAGTGCTGAGAACACTCTACGCGTACTGTATCTGAAATGCGAGGAGGATATTCGCGAACGCAACTCGCGTGCAATGCTGCTCGCAGCTTGGAGAGAGAGAAATGGTGATTGCGCCTGAGGGGCTCATTGGGTGGATATGGCGAGAGTCGTACGTTGCTAGAGATAAGAGAACGGCAAAATGTTTTGTGTCCCAAAGAGAGGTTTAACAAGGTACATAGAAATACAAAACGTTTTAGCGTATTTCAGTGTGGTTCGGAAAGGCCCAGACCAAGCAACACCCAATAGGACCTGGGAAAGCGGGGAAAGTGATGGAAGGGGAACGGGCTCAGCAGGGCTCGCGAGAGGGAGGTGAGAAAGCACGAAATTGGAATGGAGTTCTGGGTTGGGGCGTGTTCCGTGATGTCATCGAGACTAGTGGGTAGCAGAAGACAATAAAATATTTTCCGTGCCCCGAACCGAGACAGGGCGCGTGTCCTTGAGGTCAAACTTTTGCCAAAGTTCGAACTTCTAGAAAGGTTGTACACGGTAGAATACAGTTGAGAGACGTGTCGCCACGCTACAAAGCGGTATTAGAGCGTGGAACACCTGCAAGGGTTCTAGCGACGATCCTACGAAACAGTTGGCGATCTTACACAACAGTGTCCGATCTTACACAACAGTGTCCTACACAGTGACAATTGTAATCAGTGATAGCCAATCGAAATCATGACTATACAAAAGTAGGTAGGATCTTGTTCTGTAGGATTGCCAACTGTGCTTAAGATTGCCAACTGTTCTGTAGGATCATCGCTAAAACCCTAGCAGGTGTACCGCGCTCTTAGGCTCGAACTTTGACAATCTACACCAAAAGACACGCGCCCTTACAAAACGTATGAAACACATCTGTTCCACTTTGGGGAGCACATGCGTGCGACAATCTTGTTTGACGCTCAGTGATTTTTTCGCCACGTGCACTCTCCACAGGTGAACTTGCGCTGGTTTTTTCTGAAGGCATCGAAGCTTCCATCGAAACTCCTGAAGGCGAACTGGGCGTTGAGTGCGCGGTTCGAATGCTGAGTCTGATAAAGCCGCGAAGCGGGTAAGCCAAATAGAAGAACGAATCAGGGAGCATCTTGCAATCGACGCTTACGTGCCCACACCCAGTTCGCCAAAACGAAGTTGCCCGTGCCTTTCCAAGAATCCTGGACGTGTCGGGCAGTAACAAAGCACAGCTATGTCCTTTCAGCAGCTGAAGCGTCCCAAACATGGCTATCGTGTCGTAACTTCAGTGGGTAGACTTCCAGAATCTGGGGAGGAACTCCATCTGATCCCGTCCCATTCAACCCCACTTTGGAGACTCAATACAGATTACGAAAATGGACGAACTTAAAACATGGTTACACAATCTGCCTTACATCTTTGTGCTAATTGACACTGGCTTGTGCATCAACTTCACCATACTCCGATATAAACTAAAACCTTCCTCTTACGCTCAATTTCCGCCAATCTTCACACCTTCCCGGACCTTCCCAGGTGGTATTTTCTATTCTCGTCTCTAACCAACGGGTTAAGCTGTCAGATAAGGTGGCCTCACACTCCGCATTCGCTGCAATTACTTGAATCAGCAATTTCGACTCATAGCTTTATACGCCCCTTCCTTCTACCTTGAACAAAAAACCTTGTGGGCCCAGACGGTCGAGCCTCTTCTGCAATAAGCATCCGCGTGTGACGGAACTTTGCTCACTGGGTACTTCAATAATGTCCTCAACCCGTTAGACAGAAACCGTGACCTGAGCGCGTACGAAAAATCAGAGGGCAACCAAGTTAGTACAATGCTGGAAGATGCTGAACTCATTGACACATTTCGGTTACTACACCCCACAACCCCGGCCTACTCCAACTTTACCCCAGTCTGGTCCACCCCGCTGCCTCACCCCCCTCTCGCCTTCCCGGCCGTCCCAACCAACGCTCCAGTCTCACCCAACCCGGGTCACATCACACCCACCTTGGCTCCCCCCCCACCTCCCCCCCCTGCCTCACGAATTGACCGCACATATATCTCCAAGTCATTATCCAACGGGAATCAAAGTCAATACAGCGGAATGGGTTCACTAGCAGGCATGGGGAGTCTAAAAGGGTTGTACTCTCTAATGAGTACCCCACTACAGCCTACACAACATATATGCATTTGACACACCCCCATAGGCGAAGTGGGGGATAGTAAACACAACAAGCGGTCAGAAGACCAGTCAAAAGAAGAAACAAAGCAAAGCAAGCTCAGGGTGGATCTCAAGATCACCACGCATTTCGAGCACTAGCAAGCGGCCACAAGGCCAGTTCACATGCAGTTTTATAATAGAGCAAGCAGTACAATGATTACAACCTAGCAACCAGAAACATGCAGGTTTATATATTGAAGTACAAGACAAGATCAAGAGACAAGCAGTGTTGGCCGAATGGGCGTAGGCCCAAAAGCAGTGCAGAAACGCTGATGATCACCAGACCCTAGGGCCTTGGTGAAGACATCAGCACTGTTGGCCCGTGTGGCCACGTACGAAAGGCGAACCTGGGAACGCTGCTGCAACACTCGCACGGCAAAGGAACGAAGCGCAAAGTGCTACGTTCTGCTCGCGAGTTTGACCAAGTAGCGCAGCACCCTCCTAGCAGCCCGCCAATGCGCAGGATGGTGTCTCCCGGGCGCAACGTAGCGAGTCTGGATGCTGAGAGGGTACGGCAGGTACTCCAACTCGAACCGCCTGTCCTCAAAGACGTCACACCCAAGGGCAAGCTCACCCCCGACGGACGGAGGACACGAAGAGACAGAAACGAGACCCGCAAGGTAGGCACGGCGGCAAGTAGCGGCAAAGCCAGCGAGCTCAGCTACTAAGGCAGAAGCAGCAGCAGTCGAAGAAGCATGTGCAGTCACAAGCGCGGAAGTGGGCGTCGGCTCAGGTAGCGACGACGACTGCTGCTCCAAGAAGATAGGCCGCCGCGGCAGCGACTGCAACGCACCCCCAAACCCAGCACCTCCAGCACCAGTACCTCCAACTCCACCAACAAGAGTACTCCTATCACCCCCAGAGTCAGCACCCCCAAAACCAGCACCCCTTGAACCAGCACCCTCAGAACCAGAACCCTCAGCGTCACCAACCCCAACAACACCTGGGCCCCCGAAGTCCAAAACGACAGGCTGCAGAGGAGGCGAAGACGTCCGAGGCGGAAAACCCGGAGGTGTCTCCAACCGCGGCGAGCGGCGAGAGGTCGTTGTGTCGGCAGCAACAGGGTCACCCCCCTTCGGTCGAGCCAGAGGAGTTAGAGGGGACTACGAGACACGAGAGAACAGTAGAGGGGTGCGTATAGACTGTGCTAGTAGGCGCACAAGCAGCGACACACGAAGTCTCTAACTGCTGTTGCCCGCCCCCGCCACTCCTGCCAGCTCCACTACGACCACCCTCGTCAGCTACAGTGGCGAGGTCTGACAGCGCAGGGAAGGAAAGGGGCAGCGCAAGACAGCCTAGGGTGGCAGGAGGGGGGGGGGAGTAGCGCCTAACCACAGTGGTATAGAAAGCATGGGCCAACGGCACCTTGCGAAAGTGGGCTCTCTGGTCGCGCGAGAGTGTGAGCGCGGACTCCAAGTTTGGCTGCGGCGTCGCGCGCCATCCACCGCTTGTAGGCAACGAGAGCTGCACGGTACTGCGTCCGCACCTCCTCCCCAGCGTCAGCAGGAGGCTCAGCAGGAGCCTCGGGGCCGAAAGGGACCCCGGCGTGTGCTCGAACAGGGAGGCGTTGTCCTGAGTGACACTCTGGAGTTACTGGTGCATACCCTCTAGCCAGGACTCAAATTTTATAGGGTGCCCCTCTGCGTCTAAGGCTAGCACAGTGGGAGTCGCCATAGCAGTGGTAACGACAGCAGTAGCAGTAGCAAGGGCAGTAGCAGCAGCAGCAATAACAAAGGCGGCAATTGCGGCGGCTGTAGCAGTAGCAGCGCTCGGGGCAAGGCGGCGCTAGTGCGGGACAGGGCAGCGGGGGGCAGCGCACGCGGGTGGCAGCACCACCTGGGGCGGCAGCAGCAGGCGGGAGCACCTAGGGAGGCAACACGGCAGTGCCTAGGGCGGCAGCGGCAGCACTTAGGGCGGCAGCAGCAGGCGGGAGCACCTAGGGCAGCAGCAGTAGGCGGCAGCACCTAGGGCAGCTGCACCTAGGGCGGGGCAGCAGCACCAAGGCAGGGCAGGGCATTCGTGCGGTCAGCGCAAGGTGTAGGGCGGCGTGCGGGCGGGAGCTGCAGCAGCGGCACTTGCGCGCGGGCAGGGCAGGCGCGGGCAGTGCTAGCAGGGCAGGGCAGGGGCGCGCGGGCGCTGGGCAACGGGGCGCGCACGGGCACAGGGCAGCGGGGCACGCATGGGCGCTGGGCAGCGGGGCGCGCACGGGCACAGGGCAACGGGGCACGCGCGGGCGCTGGGCAGCGGGGCACGCACGGGAAAAGGGCAGCGGGGCGCGCGCTGGTGCTGGGCAGCGAGGCACGCGCGGTCGCTGGGTAGCGGGGCACGCGCTGGCGCTGGGCAGCCGCGCGCGCGCTGGCGCTGGGCAGCGGGACGCGCACTGGTGCTGGGCAGCGGGACACGCGTGGGCAAAGGGCAGCGGGGCGCGCCCTGGCGCTGGGCAGCGGGGCACGCGCTGGCGCTGGGCAGCGGGGCGCGCGCGGGCGCTGGGCAGCGGGGCGCGCGCGGGTGCTGGGCAGCGGGGCGCGCGCGGGCGCTGGGCAGACGTGCTGGCGCTGGGCAGCGGGGCGCGCGCTGGTGCTGGGCAGCGGGACGCGCGCTGACTCTTGGCAACGGGACAGCAGGGCACGTACGGGCGCGGGGCAGCAGGGCGCGCGCGGGCACGGGGCAGCGGGGCACGCGCGGGCGCTGGGAAGCGGGGAGCGCGCTGGCGCTGGGCAGCAGGGAGCTCGCTGGCGCTGGGCAGCGGGGCGTGCGGGGCACGCAGGCAGCAGGGCGTGCGGGGCACGCGGGGCAGGACAGCGCGATAGCGTTGGCCAGGGCAGGGCACGCGCGCGGCGAGCAGGGCAACGGGGGCAGCAGCGCAGCACGCGCACCAGCAGGGCAGCGCACGGCGGGGCAGCGCGAGCAGCGCGACCGTGCAGGGCAGGGCAGGGCAGGGCAGGGAACGTGCGCGGCGAGCAGGGCAGCGCGCGACTGCAGCAACTCCTGTGGCAGGAGTGTCAGGGGGCCCTAAAAAAAACGGTCCTAGGTCAGGACCTGCTCTGAAACCATGTCAAAGTCAATACAGCGAAATGAGTTCACTAGCAGGCATGGGCAGTACAAAAGGGGAAACCCTAAAAGGGTTGTACTCTCTAATGAGTACCCCACTACAGCCTACACAACAATACATGCATTTTGACAACAGGGTCACAGCCGCCTCTTACTCCTTCGTTCCGGAGTCCTTATCCGATCATGGGAGAGGCCCACTGTGTTCTCTCTCCTTTTGTAACCCGAACTGCCACCTCAGTTGCTCCAAAACCCCATGTTAACTCACTCATCACCGACATTGTTAACATGATACCTTCCTCGCTCCTACCAGCCCAATGGGACTCCTGCAGACAGAACCTTTGCCGAAAGCTTAAACTCTATTGAAGAGAAGAATGCACTCGTGTCTCCAAGACTGTGTCACACATGCAAGATGAAGTATGTCAACTACAACTGCACCTCTTGAATTTCCCTGGTTCGCAGGCACTCTCCTGCAGGCTCGACCAACAACTCCAACGCATCAACACGTACCTATGCACCCGTAATGCAGAAATGTCCCTCAAAGCCAAGCTGAAAGTCGAAGGTCGGCGCGAAATGGGCGTAGCATCGCTCCTGGCAGGACTAAATAGGAGAGTCAAGGACTCACAAATCCCACACCGTCAGCTCCCATCAGGAGAAACGGTCTCAGACCTCATCCCCATGACCCAGCATTGCACCACCTTTTTTAGCAACCTTTACAGCAGCAGGACACCCATCACCCCATCCTCCAACTTCAGGCCTCACATATATTCCTCATCACTCCCTCCCCCTTGCGATGTTCGCCTCGACGCACCCATTGGGATCCCTGAAATCGAGCGGGCTTTCACTACTCGGGCAAAGGGTAAAACCCCGATCATTAACTGTGGATCTCTTCTGATCATATAAAGCAGCCTTGGTTCCGGTCGTGCACAAGCTCTTTGCCAGCATTCAAGCTCACAACGCCCTGCCCCCCTCCATGTGTGAGGGTCGCACGATCCTAATTCCCAAGAAAGGGAACACGACCCTCGTGGAAAACCTCAGGCCGATCACTCTAATGAATGCTGACTATGAACTCTTGCAATCACCCTTGCTAAGCGCCTACAGTCCGTCCTCCCCCATATCATTCACCACGCTCAAACCGCCTTCATCAATGAGCGTCGAATCGGTGACACCATTAACGACACACTAGATATCATGGAATGGGCGTCTACACAGAAACTCCCCCTTCTCGTCGTCACTGTCGACATCCGAAAAGCATATGGCATGGTGGACAAAGATTTTTTGTTCCGCTGCCTCTCACACCTAGGCATCCCCCGTGGCTTCATTGCTTGGATCCGCCGCCTCCACTCTCATACCATCACGCATGTGTCGGTCAACAATGTTGCAGGCCCGCGGTTCCAAGTAAGAACCGGGGTGCGGCAAGGTTGCCCTCTCACACCCCACCTGTTCATTTGTGTCATCGAAGTTTTGCAACGCCATCTTGCGGCAACCCTCCCCGGGTTTGCCATATCACCAACCCAACGTCGTCTCATGGCCAGCTACGCGGATGATGTCTCCATCTTCTTGAACTCTGATCCCGAATTATTAATTGCCAAAATATGCCTCGAGGGATTCGCCCAATGCTCGGGGAACACCCCAACTCGAACAAATGCGCCATTATGCCCTTCAACTTGGACACATCCACCATCACAAACACAGGCCACATACCTATCCGGAAAACAAACGAAGCACAAGGAATCCTGTGAGTCTATGTTGAACAGGATCAACCAGCGCAAACCACGTGGGATCGAATTCTCGCCAAGGTCCGAGCATCCGCCGACTTTCACTCACGACTTCATGCCACGGCAACCTGCCGCAGCATGCTTGCCATCGAACGTCTCGCGTCACCATACTCTTTTGGCGGCCGTTTTCAACCACCTCCTCCTGACATTGTGACTCACCTGGACCGCGTGGTAGGTACCTTCCTTGCATCCTCTAAGTACAAGGAGGAGGCAGCGCAACCCGCCACATCCCTAAACGGGTCCTCTACACTAAAAATAAACATGGGGGCGTGGGAGCTATCGAGCCCCCCATTCAACTCAAGCCTCTCAACATAGAACAAGCAACCCGACGCTTCCTACCCACCCCGTACGAGGATATAGCCTGCGCCTGCGTCACGCTCCTATACGGCTTACACTGTTACCTGGCCCATCCCGACATTCTCAACCACTTTCCAAACTCTACCCCACCCAGAGCATACGCAGAGCTGCAAAGCCTGTTCGACGCCACGGCAAAGGTGTCCTCCCCGCGCCCGGAACAATTGTTGTTGATGGCTGAGCCCGTTGCTTTCAACCGTTTCATTCACAAGCCAGACAAAAAACCCATTGGTAGCATAAAAGACAAGTTGTTCCTGCTCGAAAAACAGATACGGCTCGGCAACTTGCTCATCCCAGCCCCAGGCGGATCACGCCAAATGGCAGCCGCCGAATTTCGTGCACAATACCCTCCCAAAAAAAATCCCGGCGGGCTTCGCATTCTCCAAACCATCTACAAGGCGGTCCCGGATGAATGGTGGGTCGTTCTTAACAACTTCAAACCCTGACCAGGCTTCCTTCGCAGTGACGATTGGGCCTTTGAGGCCAACCCTACCTCGTCACAAACTCGGATACTATGCGCCCCTCAGGTTCTAGACAACGATATAGTCTTGTTCGACTGTTATGAAGTGACACAGGGGAGACAGGTGGCCAAGACACCCTCAGGAAGCATTTCCCTATCAGCTACAAAGGTCATTACAGTGTGCGTCATAGGGAGCTGGCTGGCGAGTCCGTTTTGCCCGGGAGCTGCTCGGGAGCTCCTCTAGGTGTCCGTCACGAGTTGCTTCGACAACGGCCTTCACTAGCAGAGATACGGAGGAACCTCTACTCCCAACAGAACCTCTAAAATTGGTGGGCAACGAAGCGGCCATCCTGTGAAATAGATACGATTATTTCACTCCGACTACTATAGAGTTTGTGCCTTCATGAAAGTCATAAATATCGCTAATAACCCCCTGCCCGTTTGACGAAGCCTGAGGAATATGGATTAGGCAGCGCTAGACAACATGCTGCAATAGTTCTACGAGATGCAGTCAAGTGTGCAGACCCTGACGACGGAGTTCGAGCGGGTGCATGGAGAAAACCCCGAGCTACAATAGGCGCGTGGTGAAACGGGTAAGGAGTCTCTCGCCATAGGCGAAGAATACGGGAGCGTCGCAGCCAGTGACACCATGTTAAACGTGCTTCAACATTTGATTGACGCGGCAAAAGCAATGCAGGCGACAACAGCAGTAGCAGCCACAATTGTGACAGCTGTCGAGATCAACCCGACGAACTCGCCCCCGGTGAGAGGATGGTGGTGTCGGCGAGAGGATGGTGGTACTGGTTAGAGGATGGTGGTACTGGTGGGAGGATGGTGGTGCTGGTGAGAGGATGGTGGTGCTGGTGAGAGGATGGTGGTGCTGGTGAGAGGATGGTGGTGCTGGTGAGAGGATGGTGGTGCTGGTGAGAGGATGGTGGTGCTGGTGAGAGGATGGTGGTGCTGGTGAGAGGATGGTGGTGCTGGTGAGAGGATGGTGGTGCTGGTGAGAGGATGGTGGTGCTGGTGAGAGGATGGTGGTGCTGGTGAGAGGATGGTGGTATTGGTTAGCGGATGGTGGTGCTGTTGAGGCGAAGGCATATTTTATATTTTCCGATCGTTCATTTATATTATTTTGATATGCCTACTTTCCAAGACCATCAGAGGGAGTGCCGGCTACCATGAGCAGCTCTTTGTTGCAGATGCTCGCCGCCCATCGCCACACTTGCGGCTGCCACTTCTGTGGCTGCCACACCTGCTACTTCCACGCGTGCTACTGCCACACCTAATGCCATACACGCCGCTGCCACCCGCATCGCTGCCACCCGCACTACTGCCTCCCCCGCGACTGATGCTAGTAGCAAGGGATGCCTCTCTGGTAGGGGGAATAAAATGGATAATGGGGAGGGGGAGGCCGTAGATAACGTCAAGGTGAAAGTGGAAGGGGAAGAAAATAGTAGACAAATTGAAGGTGGAAGGCAAAGGTGAATGATGGTCAGGAGGGGACAGGTGGAGGTCATGTGGGTGGTGAAGGTGGCGGTTTGGGTAGGAAAGAGAAGAGACGCCAGGGGAATGAGGCCTTAAGCGCGGTCCAAAGCGAGATGACTCGGTGGTGCCGCGCGCGCATGGTTCAGATCTTATGCGAAAACCCCACCTTGACGCCCTTACAGGTATACAACGCCGCCCAACGGCTCTGGAAGATAAGCCGGTTGAACAGCGTTGTGCAGGCGAGGCAGGAGGAGGAGGGCGAATAGAAGGGCAAGGAGGGAGTGGGCGAGGAGAAGGGGAAGGAGGAGGTCGAGGTGGAGGGCGAGGTGGAGGGCGAGGAGAAGAGTGAGGAAGAGGGCGAGGAGGAGGAGGGCGGCGAGGAGGGGGAGAAGGAGTGCGGCGAGGAGGGTGGCGAGGAGGGTGAGGAAGAGGGTGAGGAGAATGTAGGGGGGGTGAGGACTAAGAAGGTGCATCAGGTGATGACAATGTTTAGGAGGTGCAGTTGGTGCAAGTGGCGGGTGATTGAGATGTGAGGGTGCAAGCAGATGTGGAGAGAGGGGATGGTAGTGCAAGCAGTAGTGGCGCGTGTGGTAGAGGTAGGAAAAGGAGACTCGCATGAGTGAGGCACATGTGGATGCGAGCCAGACGGAGACGCAACTTCATGCGTCTCAGATCATCGGCACGCAGTTGCCGGTGCCCTCCAATGTTGATGACAGTGTTATCTTGAAGTCTCGGGGGTGAATGAGGCAAGCGGAAGCGGTGCGCGGGCCAGGCCATCGCGACTCAAGCGAAATAAGTCTGCACAGTTAGAGGTAGCCTAGGTGTGCCTTCCCCTCTTCAGCCTCTCTCCCCTCTTTGTTGCAAACGACTCCCTCTTCCCCTTTTAGTTGTCCTTCCCCTTTGTGGTCCTAGGTCATCGCCTATTGTTGCTCTCTCATTAATTGTTCTTCTCATCTCTTTTTCTCACTCTGACTTGCTCTACTTTTTCTCACCTTCCCCCCTCCCCTCCTCTTTCTTTACATTCCGCCTCTCTCTGCACATTTGCCAGCGGACCCTCAGATTTAACGTAGGGCACAGTGATCAGTCAGTGTTGTCCCTTAAAAAGACAAAACACAGACTTAGATTATTCCGAATCCGAGTAACATGCTGCGTCAAGCAGGTCCTCATCGTGATGCAGCGCATCTAAGAATGTCCCAACTGTGTTTGCCGAGCGATGGCCACTCCATTCACCCCTTGGCCGAGCCATGGCCGAGCCATTCACACCTTTGCCAAGCCATTCCCCCCTTGGCCAAGCTCTGGCCGAGCCATTCTCCCTTTGGACGAACTATGGCCAAGTCACTCACCTTTAGGCCGAGCCATGGCTGAGCCTTGGCCGAGCCATGGGCGAGCCATTCACCCCTTGGCCGAGCAGTTTACCCCTTCGCCGATCCATGGCCGATCCATTCACCCCCTACACCGAGCTAAGGCCAATGCATTTACCCTTTGGCCATGTTATGACTGAGCCATTCACCCCTTGGCCGAGTCATTCACCCCGTAATCGAAGTATGGCCGAACCATTCCTCCATCGGCCGAGCCATTCACCCCTTGGCCGATCTATGCACCATTTGGCCGAGCGATTCACCCTTTGGCCGAGATATGGCCGAGCCATTCACCCCTGCCGAGCTATGGTCGAGACATTCACCCCATGGCCAAGCTATATTCTAGCCATTCAACACTTGGCCGAGCCCTGGCCGAGGCATTCACCACATCACAATTACCATTACCCCATCACAGCAACCAATACCCCATCACAGTTACCATTATCGCATCACCATTACTACGTTATCGTTACCATTACAGCATCACCATTACCATTATCCCATCATCATTACCATTACCCCATCACCATTACCATTATCGCATCACCATTACATTCATCCCATCAACATTACAATTACTGCATCATATATACCATTACCACATCATCATTACCTTTACCCCATCACCATTACCATTACCGCATCACCATTACCATTAACCCATTAGTATTAGCATTACCGCATCACCAATACCGTTACCCCATCACCATTGCCATTACCCCATCAACATTACCATTACCCTATCACCATTACCACCACCGCATCACCATCACCATTATTGTACCACAATTACAATTATCCCATCAGCATTATCATTAACCTATAACCGTTACCATTACCCCATCACCATTACCATTACCCCATCACCACTACCGTTACCATTTTCCAATCGCCATTACCCCATCACCATTACCATTACCCCATCACCATAACATTTACCCTATCACTATTACCATTACCATATCACCATTACCAATACCACATTATCATAACCATTACCTTGACACCATTGCCATTACCGCATCACCATTACCATAAACGTATCACCATTACCACTACGTCACCATCATTATCATTACCCCATCACCATTACAATTACCCAATCAATATTACCATTAACTCATCACCATCCCATTACCCCATTACAGTTATCATTACTGCATCACCAGTACCATTACCGCATCACCATTACCATTACCCCATCACCATAAGCAATGCCCTGTCACCATTTATATTTCTCAATCACCATTACCATTTCCTCATCACCATTACCATTACCTCATCACCATTACCATTACCCCATCATTATCACCATTACAGAATCACCATAACCATTACAGCATCACCACCCCATCACCATTACCATTACCGAATCACCATCACCACTACCGCATCACCATTACCATTACCATATCACCATTACCATTCGTCACTGTTTTGGCATGGATTTTCAGCGCCGAGGTGTTTTTCAATGCTGCTAATGTTAATGACAATACCCCCAGCATTAATATTGCAGTGTCACTGTTGCGCGGTGCTGCGTTGGAGTGGTGGGGTCGTACTATGATGTCTGAGGGGACTTCAGCAAGAACGACTCGTGCGAACGACGAGGCTTCAACAACTGTCAAGCAACGAGCAGCATCAATATTCAGAGTGGCTACGATACGCACATAGAAGGAGTGGGGCGCCGCCTTGCAAGCCAGATTCGAGCATGTATCCCTGGCGACGTTTCTGGAGGCGCACAAGAATTACACATTGAAAAAGCTGCCTCACTTTGATTGGCTTATTCTTGACTAAACAACTGATGGGTTGCCTTATTTACGATGCAGTATCTGCTCTGAGCATGGACCTTATAATGCACGCTAAAGTCGAAATGGCAGTGGTGGGAGGGATCTTCAACTCGGGTCAATGAGGGCTCATGAAGTCAGCACGCGCAACGAGAACACCATCAACAACCATAAGAATCTCCTTGCAAAAATCTAACAACATTTTTTTTTTGGACTACGCGAATGCAGACTCGAAAGGCGCGCGCGTGACATAACTAATGAGAGCCATCAGGTTCATCTGCGGCAACGACTCTCCCATCGGCATCTACACGCAGAATTCTTGGCAAAAGAGTGCGTCGTCGACATCCCGCAACATACCTACGGGGTGTACATTACGCAGTGAGTGGTCTATTATTGCAATGCTACTGCTGCTTATCATATTTACGTACTCAAACATGCTATATTAACCGTGTGTTGCATTCTCCTACATCAAGCATCGCTACATCGAGTAGGACACCACGTTCGGAAGGGGTCTCAGCAAGCCTTTGTCGCCATTCATCGTGCGACATGCATGGGGGGAACGAACTGTGTACGTGGAGGGCGTGGATGAGGACGGTCAACCCACGTCACATCGCATCGTTATGAGCGAGCAGCCAGTACCCAGGCACAAGTACGGCGGGTCGATGGGGGACTGCATCGACTGTGCAAGGCGTTTGCGCTGGAAGTTGCGAGCAATGTGAACGTGCGGATGTGGAGACGTGGCCGAATAATGCAGAGTCTCGGGAGCGCTTGTGTATTAAATGGTTGGACTAGAACGCTGAACTGCTCAACGCGAAGTTGCCGGGTGGGTTTTTGTATTCATCATAGATGCCAACCACTTGTTTATTTACGTGTCACGTATTTCGCATGCATGTGGTCGGTTTACTTGTTTACCCTACTCAACCACAGGGCATCGGAGCTGGAGCTGAAAATATTTTCCCACATCCTCTCGCGTCACCACGAGGATGAGGATTTCACCAGGGGTTGGCAAGCATGCTGGAAACAAAGGATTGGCCTCACGGTTACCCCAACCTGATGCTCCAGTGGCAGGCTCTGGCTGTGTTGCCGCTACGTACCATGGAATGCGAGTGCGGCTTCAGTCGACAAAACGTCATTAAGAGCTGGCTCCTGACTTCACTATCCGACGCATGTCTATGCGGGCTGATGACCCTCAACATACAGGACAACGAGTATAACTGGCCCGAAGTCGTTGAGACCTGGCGCAAGAAAAAAAAAAAAGAATACATGCGAGAACACCTGCCCCAGTCCGACTGTGCATAGGGAAAGGCAAGGAGAAAATGGAGGATAGAGAACATGATAGTAATGTAGTATTTGCTTGTGATATCTCCGATAATGAATAGAGTATTTTCGTGGCACATGTCTTCCATCTAATACAATAAGAGGAAATACAACTTAATCGTTCGGCGCCGGAACCTGTTTTGTACATCTTCCCGTCTTTTCCCCTTTCTGCTAGTGCGGACTCGATGCTTCAACTGCTTTCGACCCTTCGGATCATTGCAGCCCTTCGTCTTTGTCAGAATATTATGCTTGTCTAGTCAGTAGTGGGGTACTCAATAGTGAGTATAACCCTTTTGGGCTTGCTATTTGTATCCCTCTCCTTTCTAGTTCAAACCCCCTTCTTCTTCCATTTCTCTTTCGTGTACCCTAAACCCTAGCTATGGCTACTAAGTTCTAGCTGTGATCCTGACATGATATTAGAGCCTTTGCTGGCCTGTGGGCCCACATGCTTCCGCTGCTGCTGTCCTGTCTGTCGCGCGCCCCGTGGCGCGCGACGTTTTTTCTTTCCGCCACGCGCTCGGGGCGCATGGCGGTTTTCTGCCCGCCGCGCGCTCGGGGCGCGCGGCGGTTTTCTGCTCGCCGTGCGCCCCGAGGCGCGCGGCGGTTTACTGCCTCACGCGGTGCCCCGGGGGCCCGCGCGCTGCCCTGCCCGTCGCCCGTCACGGCGCCCTGGGGGGCCGCGCGTCGCCCTGCCCGTCGCCCGTCGCGGAGCCCTGGGGGCTCGCGCGTCGTCCCCCCCTCCCGTCGCCCGTCGCGGCGCCCTGGGGGCCAGCGCCTCGCCCCCCCCCTCCCGTCGCCCGTCGCGGCGCCCTGGGGGGCCGCGCATCGCCCCTCCCGTCGCCCGTCGCGGCGCCCTGGGGGCCCGCGCGTCGCCCCCTCCCGTCGCTCGTCGAGGCGCCCTGGGGGCCCGCGCGCCGCCCCGCTTCCGCTCACACGCCGCCCCAGCTGCGGCTCGCGTTTGTGCCCTGCGTTGGGGGTATGGGGGTGGCGGGTATGGGGGTGGCGGGTGTGTGA